AGCAGCTTGCTTGCTTGCGGTGAGTTAACACCACATCGCTGTACATTGCAATAGCGGTTTTTAATTGTTAATGTTATTGACATTCGGTTAAGCGTAATTTGTTTTTCCAAATCATTTAAAATGGTGTTAGAATGCCTAACACGTCCCAAAAAATTGGAGCAGTAAAAATCAACTACGTAAGATTATTGAACGCCATGGTATTTTGATGACGAATCAATTGGATCGGAGAAATCCAAGAAGGCATGCCATCCTCGAATAGAACAAAATTCAAAACCATTTAAAGTGGACTAAAATAAATAACAAAAAATTGACATTAGGGTGTTCCCACATATTAAAATGATTTATTCTAAATATTCTTCGAAGATCCTATATAAAACAGACCAGTGTAAAATTCAGTTCTATGAAGTGGTAGTCTATGTTAAAACCAGTAAGGAAAGTACAAAATTCGGACTGGACCTACGGGACTACCACCATTTTAGGTATATACAAGAGTACTCATAACAAATATTTGCCGAAAATCGGAAGAAAGTTAAAAGACGACATTCCAAACCTATGTCAGAACTTTGTGTAACAATTGATGCTAATCAGACAAACTTGGAACCTTTAGTGCACCATTTACTTTGGACGAAAATATAAAATCTGAACCAATGATAATACATACAAATATTTATTAAATTCAAATTTCGAATCTGAACACGAGAGTAGGACCAATATAACTCTTTTAGAATATAGGAGTAGTGAAGAGACTGATAAGATGCTGAGAGAAGTGAGTAAAGACCTTGCTATGCTCACGGCAAGGAAACAATCTGGCACACAAAAACCTACCTATGTAAAAGCAATAGGGCTGCTACAACAACAACAAAGTCCCACGAAATTTTACCCTTCATCATTTTGGGTATATACAAGAGATGCTCATAAAAACTATTTACTGAAAATCGGACGAATGTTAAAAGATGACATTTAAGAGCCATTTCAGTAGTTTGTGTAACAATTTGTGCTAATCAGACAAAGTTTGGATCTTTGGTGCACCATTTACCAAAAATCGCACCAAAACATTTATGCGTGCTATATCTAAATCTGATCCGATTTTCACAAAACTTGACATATGTTAATGTATACTCACTTTGGTATGCTATACAAAATTTCGTGTCAATCGGACCAACTTGGAGTATTTGGTGAACCATTTTCCGAAAATCGGAAAAAACTATATATGGGAGCTATATCTAAATATCAACCAATTTCGATAAAAAATGTATACACGTCATTCTAGGGTTAATTCGGCAGGCTGTGCCAACGTTCTTGTCAATCGGACAAACGTGGAGAGTTTTTGTACCTTTTACCTAAAGTCGGACGAAAATATATATGGGAGCAATATCTAAATCTGATCCGATTCCCACAAAACTTGACACACGCTAGTCTGTACTTATTTTCGTATACTATACAAAATTTCGTGTCAATCAGACAAATGTGGAGATTTTGGTGGAACATTTATCGAAAATCGGACGAAACTATAAATGCGAACTATATCTAAATCTGAATGTGCCAAGGAAATATAAACATGCCTTTAACGGGACTGGGGATTTATAAGATCGACCCATATGTGTGACATTTGTCAGGGAGATTTTTCACCCAATGATAATATTTATCTCTAACTCAAATTCCGAATATGAATACGATAGTAAGACCAATATAACCATATTAGAACACAGGAGTAGTAGAGAGGGCTATAAAATGGTGTAAGAAGGCATTGTTAAGCGACAGGGAAAAACAGCTATCTGGGGTGCAAAAGCAGAAACTGGTCAGAATGAACCGGAGAAACCAGTGCGACCTGCAAACTTATGATCAAAAAGACAAGACAGGTCTTCTCTTAATGTCCTCCGGAAAAGCATATGAATGCCAAACCCGTAACAATGAAAAAGAGCGTTCATTCGGCTGATATAAATAGAAAGCGGAGCACAACACAATGTGGAAGGAAACTGCCAGGACATTGCATCAACTGAGGGTTGGCGAAGCTGGCTCTAACATCCTGAAGATGGGCGATGCATCGAGTCTTCTGTAAAGACCAGGAATCCCGAAAGGACCGGCCTTTACGAAAAAGGAAGCGGTTAGAAACAGTTGGTAAGGAATCGCCGTCTTATGTGAAGGCGCTATAGAGAAAAGATCTGCTATACAGTAATCGACGAAAATAGTAGACAAATAAGGAGGTGATGGATGCGGGCAATAATAATATTATAGATCACCTGCTCCAAGGAGGGGGACCCCATAGATCTGGACAGTTGCGAAATTAAGGGTTATAACTTAATGCTTGAATTTGAGCTCTCAAATAGTACTGAAGTCCTGGGGAAACCACTGACAAGAATTGTCTCACTCAGTTACCACAAGCGACGCGTTTCTTTTGTGACAGAGTTTTTACGATATAACGGATTTTTGAAGCCTCCAAAACAAGACACTGCTGGTGAAGAACTCGAACGGCTTCCACAGGGACGAAAAGGGTGCTCTACTTGTGATGAGCTTGGGCTGGTCCTAAATGGTAAGTCTGGCAAAGACTAAGGGTTAGGCGCACTACGTGTCCAATTGGGAAGGCAAAGATTGGAGCAACAAATATGAGAGAGCCGAAAAATATGTCCAACTCCCAATAAAATCTCTTATTAGAGGACAGTCTATTGAGACAAACCAGATAAGCCTCCATCAGAGTGAGAGGGCAATAATGGTTGTAAAAAGTTTAGTTGAAATTAATTTTCAGGAAAAAGTTGACCATTTTGCTTGGGAGGTACCATAAGGAGTCGACCGATGGGTCTCATCTTCGAACTTGATTTAAGTATTTTGTATCAAATCGGACATTCCATACGATTGTTATTGGATTAAAAAATGTTCAAAATGTTAACACTTCGTAGGATAGGTGTCAGATGTAATGGATCGATGGGTCCCATCTTCGAATTGTATTTAGAATTGGTAAAAATTTCGACGATGTTCAAAATTTTGGGCGAAATCGAACATTCCATTCCCTTAATATTGGATTTATAAAAATTGCAAAATTTTGATTTGATCAAGAATGTATATACTTTATTGGGTCTCGAGGGAAATATTTCGAGGTGCTGGTAAAAATACGTCGATGTGCAGAGTTTTGGGTCAAATCGGACATTCTATTCGTTTAATATGTTTATCATTTTCTGTGGGCAGTACCAAAGGAGTGGATCGATATCCCCCATCTTCGAACTTGTTGACGTACTTGTGTAAATTGGATTCGGCATCGATTTTTATCTGATTTGATCAAGAATGTATATACTTTATTGGGTCTCGCGGGAAATATTTCGAGGTGCTGCAAATGGAATGACAAATTCAATAAACACTTCAATTTATTAACCATTTGTTATGGCGGTACCTGAAGTAATATGGTTATGTAGTTATGCATTGGATTAAATCTATATATTTGGTATATATAGGCTAAATAAGCGGACTAAGTTATTACAACGTATACATGTTGGATCCAATCTTATTTTCTCGCCATATGGCAGAAATTTTAAAAAATCATATTGGAGTTCGATCTATGTTTGAAGAAATATTCAACAAAATTAACGATTGGAGCAAAGGAAACTTGATGAACTTAAGGTACCTATCGTTCATTTTGCGAATAGTTCATTCATCTAGTTCGCAGAAAAAATGAATGCAAAAAAGAACGATTGGAACAAAAGAAACTAGATGTAGGAATGAACCGGACCTACTGCCAATCGTTACTATTACGGAATAGTTATTTTCAACTAGTTCGTTCCGGAACGAAGAAACTCTAGACGAGGGTATATAAATTATGCCGAATATGAAACGCTTGTTTTTTGTCAACGCTGCTATTGCAATGTGCACAGTGGTGTGTGAGTGTTATGACAGCGTGCACTGTGGTACGAACATATTATTTAAGCTTTTTTTGTTGTTGAGATGCAATATAAATGTAGCTGATAATTATGTTTTGTTTTGCTTTTGTTGTTGTTGCTTGCAACTTGTAGTAATGTGATCTATTATTATTGGTATGAACTTACAAAAGCCGCCATCTTCGATCTATATTTCTAAATATAGGTTTTGAAATGTGACGTACGTACGAGCGAGCGAACGAACGACAGACACACACAAACACACAACATGCATTTGAAAATGTGAGAAATAATTCTAGGTAATTTGTTATCTTGTTTGCGAGAAAAAACTTATTTATCCGGCTGCGGATTATATTTGAGTGAGGGTCCCATTTATGGCACACATGGCACTGAGATTGATGATAATGATGATGGTGATGAATGATGGACACGATGTGGAAACTTATAATTGAAACCCCTGAGATGTATTGCATATATCCGTCGCGGAACCTCAAGAAGGGGTTTTCATGGCCTTCGAAGGATCTTTAGGTTATTATTAATGGTTTCATGATTGTTAGTGATGATATGGGGAAAATTGGACTAAGTTAGTAGGAGGAGTACGAAAAAAATTTATGGATTCTGGTATTTTTCTGTTCAATGCATTGGTGATGTTCATGATCAAAAATGATGATGATGATGCTATGAAGAGGACGCCGGGTTAGAGGTTACAGATTTAAGATGAATGGTTGTCAATGGATTAGTGGTAGAAATTCTGTTTTCTGAAGTTTCTATTTTGGTTTAGGATTTACGCAGTGTAAGGCTGACCAGCAATACACCTACGGCTAGATAATTACCATTATTTTCGGAGCGTGAATATGAGGGCCTTGTATAGGAAGGCATATCGGTTGCGGCATTGTAGCCATTCGATGCTGCAGCTGTGGACTGGGCATCATCATTGGTGGCTGCCGGAGCGGTGCTGACCACAGCGGGTGCACTATAAACACTGGCTGAACGTGTACCCAATACGGAGGCAGCAGTGGAACGTCCTGTGGTCCAATCATTTCCAGTTGTTGCTGAATTGTTGATGGCATTAATACCTGCACCTACTCCTACACCTCCTGCTCCTGTTGTTGTTGTATCCGCCATATTTCGTATCTTGGTATTTCCGGTATTTTGGCTACTTTGCCCTAGGCTTGTGGTTCCTGTTGGATTGCTGTGGGTAGCTGTATTGGTTGTATCCATGCGCGTGATGGTTTCAATCGACGTTGAGCTGCCATAAATATAGCTGGACTTATCCTTGTTCGAAGCAGTCGAACTCTGATAGGTGTGACTGGAGTTGGTGGCCACCGATGCTGCCTGCTGTGGTGGTGGAGGCGGTGGCCTTGAGGGTGGTGGTGGTGATTTGAAATTACTGTCGGTGCGAACATTGATGCGTGATGAAATCGATGAAGCCGACATCGATGATGATGATGTGGTGGAAGATGTACTGGCCAATGTTGCTGTGGTGGTACTGGCCTTTATGGCACCCTTGTCGAAGGGATTGACACGTTCCTGTGGCTCGAAGTTTGTAACCGGTTTGTATTTCGATTCATCTAAAACGCTGGAAGTGGGCTTGCTGCTCGAACTGACGCTGCCGGCGGTCAGTGTTGAGGTTGATGAAGTATCCGAACGGGCATCGGCAGCACCCTCAGACGCCTTCGGCTGTGGCTGGGCCGATATTACAGAATCACCCAGACCCGAAGATGCCGAGGCACTGGTCTTACCCGAGGCGAATGAAAATTGCTTACCCAAAAACGAGCTGCCGGCACTTGTAATGCCGCTGACATTAATGCCAGCCACACTACCGCGACCGCTGTCGCCGCCGCTGACACCACCACCGATACCATTGGCCGACTCGCTCGCCGTTCTTCCGCGTTTCTTGTTCGCTAATTCCTACATGTCACCAAATATGCCCGCAAAGGTCTTCCTCAAATTCTTCATGGTGTCCTCCGCATCCTCGACCACCGAGGTCTGAGTTTGCGGAGGACGTTGTTGTGCCCTGGAGGCTGAGGATATGCTCGAAGCCTGTGATGTTTGCGAGTCACGACGTGGAACACCGCCAGCTGAGGCTGGAGGCTCTTCGGGTACTTCGGAAATGCTGCTACGGCTACTGAGTCTTCCGATGGAGCCTACAGCTGGTGAAGTACGTTCTGGGATGGGTGGTGGTCCACCCATGGGAGCTGGACGAGGGCCAGTGGGAGCGGTTGGTGGATGACCGATTTCATCAGTGGGACTTTGACCACGCGACGAGACCGATGGAAGTTTGCTGTGATGACCACCAACAGATTGTTGTTGTTGGTTCATGCCGGGGCGACAGACGTTCTGGAAAGGATGATAAGAAGGATAAAAATATTGATTTTCGATACCGGTCCTCTTAGAGTGAAAAATTATATTGTATAGAAGAGGAGACTAGTCTACTCTTAAAAAAAGAAGACCTGGTCTTCTATAGGATATAAATTCTGGTCGACTATAGAATAGAAGAGCTAGCCTTCTATAGAATGGAAGATCTGGTCTTCTATCGATTATAATTGTAGATCTTCTATTGAATAGAAGATCAGGTCTTCTGTAGAATAGAAGAACAGGTTTTCTATAGAATAGAAGAGCAGGTCTTCTATAGAATATAAGTGCTGATCTTCCATAGAATAGAAATGCAGGTCTTCTGTAGAAAAAGAAGAGCTGATCTTCTAACCAAAAAATAGCAGGTCTTCTATAGAACAGAAGAGTTGGTCTTCTGTATAATAAAAGACCTTGTCTTCTATAGAATAGAAGGGCTAGTATTCTATAGAATAGAATATTTTGTCTACTTTAGAATAGAAAGCAGGCGTTCTACAGCATAGATTACAGTTGTTTTTTATATCATAGAATCCAGCTCTTCTATAGCATAGATGGCAGGTCTTCTATAGCATAGAGTCTTTTATATCGAAAATAACCAACCTGCATACGCGATGTTACCAAATCAGCAATTTGCCGACGATCATCCTCTTGCGAATCACCCATCAGGGCAAAAGTACTGTCCGATGCTTTGATGATGTGTTCACGACCATCTTTGCCAACCACCACCGAAACACCGCACACTTCCATGCCACCGAATAATTCGGAGATCTGTAAAAATATCAGTTAATTGAAGTGATCGCACACTCTTATGCATATTTCCAATTATCTAAACAAAAAAAGTTCACTTACCTCATCCACCCAAGTTTTATACTTCTCTGTTAGGGTAATTTGTTCCAGCATTGCTGAACCTTGATTTGTTTTCCAATTGCCGGTAATGGATTTACGCCTGTAATGCATGACAAAATACAGAAAACAAATGATTTGATAATTTGTAAAACAACATAATGAAGTTCGTTGGCCCTACAAATTAACAAGTTCTTCAAGTTGCAAATAAGCTGCAGTTCAGTTGCAGCGAGCATTATTCCTTATTAAAATATTTGAACCCCTTGCAATAATTTTTGTATGGAATGGACTACCCGATATGAACCAAGCTTTGCACAACCAAATATGTTAACCATGCCTGTATAATGTTGAAAGATGGAACTTATCGTTCCAATCCTTCTAGTACCTCCCCCACAAAGGGTCAACATTTTGAAAGCTTGCACATCTCATATGTATCGAACTGAATACCAAATTTTATAGAGTGCGATAGAGTCATCCCTGGTCATTTTTTCCACCAGCATACAGTTGTTGGATTCCGGAAAATTTCACAATTGCCCAAAAATGTCAAATCGATGGGTGCAAAGATACTTTCAAAAAATATGACAGCGATGATTTGAAAAATCCTTGAATCGATCGTTTATGTGCGGAAAAATAAAAAAACGAAAAAGAACAAAGTCGCCCAGGGACTTAATTTTATTTCCTCACATCAATCCTAGGATGTTAGCGAAGCATGTGATGTAACGACATCGACGCAGTGAAAGTCTCGCAATGTTTAATAATTTAACATTTTCAATATATTACGCAATTCTGATGAACACCACATAAGGATCTCCCTCTATATTAATTAGATTCAATGTTCCGGCTATATTTTCCAATCGAAGTGATTGTGATTTGAAATTCCGGATTTATGCAGGGTAAAACATATTATGTTATTTTGGGAATATTGGACAGGGAATATCGATCTGCATGCATTTTCGGTTCTCTATGGGTTGGATATAAATAGTTGTAAATTTTTTGGGGTTGCCCCTTTAAACGCAACCTGACAAAAGTTTTCAATATCGGTCCAATATTCAGTTTCGCCTCAATTGGTTCTAATTTGATATTTAGAGTTTCATTGGCTTTCTATTTACAAAAAAATTATGAATATCTGTCCACGTTTCGGTACCCCGATTTGTTAACAGGCCCGGTAAAACCTAACGACGTGTTTACTTCTTAATGCTTTTCATTTGGCTCATTGGGTCCGCGACCCATGAAACCATCTCAACGTAAGTATTCTGCATAATATTTGCGCCCTCTGTTTTAATAATAAAACCAGTAAGGAAAGATCAAAAGTCGGACGGGGCCGACTATATGACATTTTGCTCAATTGGACCAAGATTGGAAGTTTGGTATATCATTCACAATCGGACGAAACTGTATATGGCAGCTATATCCAAATTTAGCAGGCATCAGTCTGGACCAAATTCAGTACTCTATGCAAAATTTTGTCCCAATCGGATAAATATTGGGTGTTTTGTGCATCATTTACATAAAATCGGACGAAACTATGTATGGGACCGAATTTCTCCAAATTCAATAGGGTTCGTCCTTGGTCCAAATAAATGAACTTTGCCAAATTTCATCCAAATCGGGTCATAAATTCGACCTGTACTTTGTTCACAAAAATACATGGACGAACGGACATGCATAAATCGACTCAGAAAGTGATTCTATGCATACTCTCAAAAGGAACCATGGGTCTATCTCGATTTCTTTTGCCTGTTATAAAAATATGTACAAAGACATACTACCCTGTACCACAATGTGGTGAAGGGTATAATAAAAATATAAGAAAATCCACTCCTAATACTCCTCTTGAATGAGGAGTGGATGGTTTCATGAGTTCTACGTGAGGCATGGATTGTACAACGAAGACGTTATCGTGACGCCGTGTAATGATGCGTGATAGCTTGAGTCGAGAACGACTAGGTCTCTCTATACACAATTCGGCAATGGAATTCATGGGCTGAATGGGTTGGGTAGCCACCATTGTGGCCGCCATAATGTGTGGACCCATGGGTTTGGAGTATAACTCGGTTTCATGCATGTTGGAGTTACGTTTTTTATCGTCACGCCACAGCTGGACATTGGCTTGTGACGTGGAATCGATGGAGATGCATTCGTTGGCACCCCGTGATCTCTGGCGGCGCATACCTTTAAGGCGACAATTACCGCCACCACCACCTCCACCCGAACCGGTACCTATATCACATTCCATTAGGGAGTTGGCATCACCCACCGAAGATAACTGAAATGTTTGGGTCTGCTGCATACGATGACCTGGGCAGCATACGATGACCTGGTTATGTAATTGACTTTTTGTCTTAAGGTGCGATCAATCTCCTTGGTTCGTTAGGTTCCACAGTTCTACGTTACTTATGATCCTGAGGGATTTGCTTATGAAAATTATGATAGACACATGACAGGTTTCACTGCTGTATAGCAGAATCGATTTTATGTCTGCTTGGAATATGTTAGGATTGATTTTCCTGGATATATGTGAACTTCCCAATACACTGCGGTAATCGTGATTTTCATGACATCGGTTTTCTTGATTTTAAACTCAAGTACGACATTGCTATATCTTTTCTCCGCATCCTCCAATTTTAAATGCATATTTGATATCTTGTAAAAGAGAAGAGGGATATCATCCGTATAATTTAAGTCCAAGAATAAACTTCATTCACCTCAAATGACAGTTCGTGTGATGTAAATATTTTAGTATGACCCTCAATATCCATATACAACACCTCCTCTTGGGTACTCTGGCGATTTCTCCGAAGTCCGAAGTCTTTCCAGAGTGGAATATATTGCAAATTTTGTAATTTTTCACACAAAAGTTTTGGCCCACTTGATCCACTACACCCTCAATATCCATATACAACACCTCCTCTTGGGTACTCTGGCGATTTCTCCGATCTAAGTCTTTCCAGAGTTGCAAATTTTGTAATTTTTCACACAAAAGTTTTGGCCCACTTGATCCACTACAATTTGACCATCTTTAAAACAGCAATGATTATACCCTTCACCACACTGTGGTACAGGGCACAGTGTGGTGAAGGGTATAATCATTGCTGTTTTAAAGATGGTCAAAGGGTATAATATATTGTGTCTTTGTGCATATGTTTGTAACAGGCAAAAGGAAACGAGACAGACACATGGTTCCTTTTGAGAATATGCATAGAATTACTTTCTGAGCCGATTTACGCATGTCCGTCTGTCCGTCCGTCCGTGTGTTTTTGTATGAAATTTGGCATAGGTCACTTTTTTGGCCCAAGGACGAACCCTATTGAAATTGGGAAAAATTGGTTCAGATTTAGATATAGCTCCCATATATATTTTCGTCCGATTTAAGGTAAATGGTCTAGAATGGTGTGTGTTAAATTTCCTAAAAATCGGTTTAGATTTAGATATAGCTCTCATATATATTTTCGTCCGATTTATGGTAAATGGTGTACGAAAGTCCCTATATATCATTCGATTTGCACGAAACTTGGCACAGCGTAATGAATTAGGTCTAGAATGGTGTGTGTTAAATTTTCTGAAAATCGGTTCAGATTTAGATATAGCTCCCATATATATTTTCGTCCGATTTAAGGTTAATGGGTCACCAATGTCTCTATATATCTTTCGATTTGCACGAAATTTATCACAGCGTAATGAATTAGGTCTAGAATGATGTGCGTTAAGTTTCCTGAAAATCGGTTCAGATTTACATATAGCTCCCATATATATTTTCGTCCGATTTAAGGTAAATGGCGTACCAAAGTCCCTTAATATCTTTCGATTTGCACGAAATTTGATACAGCGAAATGAATTCGGTCTAGAATGGTGTTGGCTAAATTTCCTTAAAATCGGTTCAGATTTAGATATAGCTTCTATATCTAACCAAATGAAAAATTTAGTATCGGTTACAGAATGGCATGTTTATGGATCCAATTTCCCTTTACTGGTCCTTTAAAACTGGGATGTCTGTTAGGATTCATCTGTTGAATATAGCCAAAGTGGTGAAGGGTATCATATAGTCGGCCCCGTCCTACTTTACAACTTTCCTTACTGGTTGATATCGTGTATCCACATAATCTAATTCTAAGAGTAGACTTCATTCACATCAAATAACAGTTCGTATCATGTACAACACATCCTCTTGGGTACACTGGCGATTTCTCCAAACAAAGTCTTTCCAGAGTGATTTTTCGTTGGCCCTTCCCGGGTCATGATTGTTACCTCCAGAGCGATGAGAAAAACACTCAAAAAGTAAAGGTTTTGGTCAATTTTATTCCCTAAAAATAAACCGAGGAATACGAGAAACTACAGGTGTCACCATTGGCCAGAACCGAACATACATGATGATTGGATCATAATTTCGGCTTGTCCTTGGTTTACAAATTATAATGGACAGACGGACAAGTCATCTATTCGAGATATGATGATCGGTATACGAAAATGTGGGACCAATATTTTGAGGCATTACTAAATTTTAGGGCCATACAACCATATATAAGCCTCAAAAAATTGTTGTGTAGGTTATAAAAAATACAATCAAAACTAATTTAGCATTATGTATGATTTACAAATATATGTGTCATCTGATTCAAAAATCCAATAACATGTTGAATTAATGGAGCATATAATGTAGCTGCTTCCGACCAATAATCATTGCAGTATTTTGGCGTTGATGTTTGTATATTGCCAATATTCAACTTATATCCGACTTTTTATGATCTCTCCAAAACAATTGTCGCGTCTGTTCTTTAAAAGAACGCAATTGAATCATATTCTGCAATCGCGACATATAATTTGGCACATAAATTAAACAATTTTCGTTGATTACAAATTTTTGGGCACGAACTACAAAATTTATGAATATTGAGCAATCAGCTTGCTTTTATTTTTCATAAACTACAAGGCTATTTAAAAAATAATGGCAATACACAAATTGCCACAATTCGGAGTTTTGCGATAGTCGTCATCATCATCAGCAACCAACCAATCCAACAACACTTCGCAATGGAGACCCCAAATAAACACTTCCCCCCTCTTCGTACATACTTACATGAATGCCTTATAATTGCTGCCAATCTTTTGAATATGAACATCGAATTTTGCATCGATATACGGTTCAATTGTACAGTAACAGTGTCCTTCAAAACCGGTGCCAGACACCAGACCGGCAGCATCTTGCAGACCCATTTGGTTATCAAAGCGTGCTGTGGCCATGCCGCCATGACAATGGCCAGCCTTTAGTACACAGGGGAACTTGGTCCAATTAAGCTGTAAATGGCAAGAAGAGAAGAGAAAAATGAAAAAAAAAAACAATTAAATACTTTGTATGTCCTTAGAGAAAAGGAGAGATACAAAACAAAAACACAGAGAGGGTCGATGTCAAATATGATAAGGCTGGAAAAAAATTGATGTTCTGTTTTCAAAACAATTGTTTTATTTATTTTCATTTTGTTTTTTTCCTATAAAAGGTCAGCCAGCCTCCATTTGGAAAAATTGAAGGGCAATTAGTCAAAACTTTTGTTATTATTTAGTTTTTGTTGTTGCATTTGTTGTTTTGTTTTCTATTTATCCGCACATATGTGACCGACGACCACCACTTAGTCGTCTATAGCAGCATTTACGGCGCTTATTCATTATAAGCGTACATTTTGGCCAATGGCCAATTATTTATTAGTGTGTAAGTGCAACAACAACAACAACGACAACAAAAAAGTAGATTCTAAGAAAATTGTTTATAAATTGTTATTGTTGTTGTTTTATAGAAAACATCAGCGGCACATTGCATTCGGGCGCCACCTTTGCCCTCCTCTTGATTTGCGAAAAACCCACCGAGAGGATGGATGGATGAACGCCAAGAATATGGATTTATGATTTTTACGCTTGTAACGACCTTCGCCGAATAGAATTGCTTTTAAATGTCTGGTTGCAAATTTTTCTTTCTTATTCATAAAAATTATTCATCAGCTAATTAACAAAATCCGCTTACATTAATTTTAATTTTCCTAAAAAAATATTCGTTGTTAGTTTAGTAATACATTTATTTTTATTTGTTTCACATATCTGATGGCAAGTGGAAGCAATTTTTCTAAAATAGCTAATTCCGTTATTTACACTTAAATGGGGGATGACGTATATGTGTCAGATGTTGAAGGGGTTCATACTTGATGATATTGAAAAGGGGATGTAGAAAAGAAAGTATTTTTGTTGGTGTTTAACATTAACAGTTGGAAGGATTTTAAACGATTGTCATATCGAAGACTCGTAAAAAATACAGAAAATTTTCAAAAAGATATGAATCAACTGAATTATTTAATAAGAGTACTTGAAAAAGCCATGCCTCTAATAGTCCTTGAAAAATCCACGCCTCTAATAGTCCTTGAAAAATCCACGCCTCTAATAGTCCTTGAAAAATCCACGCCTCTAATACTTCTTGAAAAATCCACGCCCCTAATAGTCCTTGAAAAATCTACGCCTCTAATAGTCCTTGAAAAATCCACGCCTCTAATAGTCCTTGAAAAATCCACGCCTTAAATAGTCCTTGAAAAATCCACGCCTTAAATAGTCCTTGAAAATCCATGCCCCAAGTCCTTAACGAATGGTCCTTGAAAAACCTTGAAAAATATTCTTCAAAAAAACCACGCCTTTGGTAGACCTTGAAAAAATATTCTTCAAAAAAACCACGCCTTGAAAAAATATTCTTCAAAAAAACCACGCCTTAAAAAAATATTCTTCAAAAAAACCATGCCTTGAAAAAATATTCTTCAAAAAAACCACGCCTTGAAAAAATATTCTTCAAAAAAACCACGCCTTGAAAAAATATTCTTTAAAAAAACTACGCCTTGAAAAAATATTCTTCAAAAAAACCACGCCTTGAAAAAATATTCTTCAAAAAAACCACGCCTTGAAAAAATATTCTTCAAAAAAACCACGCCTTGAAAAAATATTCTTCAAAAAAACCACGCCTTGAAAAAATATTCTTTAAAAAAACTACGCCTTGAAAAAATATTCTTCAAAAAAACCACGCCTTGAAAAAATATTCTTCAAAAAAACCACGCCTTGAAAAAATATTCTTCAAAAAAACAACGCCTTGAAAAAATATTCTTCAAAAAAACCACGCCTTGAAAAAAATATTCTTCAAAAAAAACACGCCTTGAAAAAATATTCTTCAAAAAAACCACGCCTTGAAAAAAATATTCTTTAAAAAAACCACGCCTTGAAAAAATATTCTTCAAAAAAACCACGCCTTGAAAAATATTCTTTAAAAAAACCACGCCTTGAAAAAATATTCTTCAAAAAAACCACGCCTTGAAAAAATATTCTTTAAAAAAACTACGCCTTGAAAAAATATTCTTCAAAAAAACCACGCCTTGAAAAAATATTCTTCAAAAAAACCACGCCTTGAAAAAATATTCTTTAAAAAACCACGCCTTGAAAAAATATTCTTCAAAAAAACCACGCCTTGAAAAAATATTCTTCAAAAAACCACGCCTTGAAAAAATATTCTTCAAAAAAACCACGCCTTGAAAAAATATTCTTCAAAAAAATCACGCCTTGAAAAAATATTCTTCAAAAAAACCACGCCTTGAAAAAATATTCTTCAAAAAAATCACGCCTTGAAAAAAATATTCTTTAAAAAACCTCACCTTGAAAAAATATTCTTTAAAAACCTCGCCTTGAAAAAATATTCTTTAAAAAACCTCGCCTTGAAAAAATATTCTTCAAAAAAACCACGCCTTGAAAAAATATTCTTCAAAAAAACCACGCCTTGAAAAAATATTCTTCAAAAAAACCACGCCTTGAAAAAATATTCTTTAAAAAAACTACGCCTTGAAAAAATATTCTTCAAAAAAACCACGCCTTGAAAAAATATTCTTCAAAAAAACCACGCCTTGAAAAAATATTCTTCAAAAAAACCACGCCTTGAAAAAATATTCTTCAAAAAAACCACGCCTTGAAAAAATATTCTTCAAAAAAACCATGCCTTGAAAAAATATTCTTCAAAAAAACCACGCCTTGAAAAAATATTCTTCAAAAAAACCACGCCTTGAAAAAATATTCTTTAAAAAAACTACGCCTTGAAAAAATATTCTTCAAAAAAACCACGCCTTGAAAAAATATTCTTCAAAAAAACCACGCCTTGAAAAAATATTCTTCAAAAAAACCACGCCTTGAAAAAATATTCTTCAAAAAAACCACGCCTTGAAAAAATATTCTTTAAAAAAACCTCGCCTTGAAAAATATTCTTTAAAAAAACCACGCCTTGAAAAAATATTCTTCAAAAAAACCACGCCTTGAAAAAATATTCTTCAAAAAAACCACGCCTTGAAAAAATATTCTTTAAAAAAACTACGCCTTGAAAAAATATTCTTCAAAAAAACCACGCCTTGAAAAAATATTCTTTAAAAAACCACGCCTTGAAAAAAAAAAAACCACGCCTTGAAAAAATATTCTTCAAAAAACCAAAAAAATATTCTTCAAAAAAACCACGCCTTGAAAAAATATTCTTCAAAAAAATCCGCCTTGAAAAAAATATTCTTTAAAAAACCTCACCTTGAAAAAATATTCTTTAAAAACCCCACGCCTTTTGGTGTGTGGATCCTAGAAAAATATTCTTTAAAAAAACCACGCCTTGGAAAAATATTCTTTAAAAAAACCTCGCCTTGAAAAATATTCTTTAAAAAAACCACGCCTTGAAAAAATATTCTTCAAAAAAACCACGCCTTGAAAAAATATTCTTTAAAAAAACCACGCCTTGAAAAAATATTCTTTAAAAAATTCACGTCTTGAAAAAATATTCTTTAAAAAATCCACGCCTTGCATAAGCCTTGAAAAAATATTCATTGCAAAAACCAAATTCCTAATAGGTCTAGACAAGATATTCTGTAAAAAATTCGAGCCTTTAATAGACCTTGAAAAAATATTCTTTAGAAACTCCAGCCCTATAATGGGTTCCAGTAGGGTTGGAAAATAAAAAAACTCCACGAGTTAAACAAATCTTAAAATCCTTCTGAAATAGAATAAATATTTTCAAAAATTCCACAATCCGCACAACAAGTCGAAATAATTATCGGGGCTATCATAAAGTGTTAATTAATCCATGCCCAGCTGTGTGTTCCAGAATTCATTGCAATATATAAAATAGAGTGAAAATTAAAATTGTTCATACACTAATACTTCCTCCCCTGGTTCCACGTTCTCATCAAGACCCATTTGCGCTCGATTTTCGATATTTAAGCTGTTCTAAGACCCCATATAACGGTAGGTATTTATAGGTCATAACCACATTCTTCAACTTGATATTTCAGATTCTTGGAGGCCTATTTGCAAAATATTTAATATATAGGTTTATGTTCTGACATGACCCAAATTTTTGGCACTTGGAGGGCTCTCAACGTATTTTCCAACCAAGTTTGTGTAATTGTATTATTTTATCAGTTCCGTGGACTTAGGTTAGATTCACTTTATTTTGGACTTACGAAGTGGCTGAAATTTGGCATTCAGGGACTTGGGACTTGTATGCTCATAGCCGCTATACAAACGTCGTTTTTGCTCATTTTTTTAAAGCTGATTGTCTGTGATTTGGTATTTTTGGTAGCAACTTACAACCGATCGCTTTTAATTAGAATGTCCACGCCATGATGGAGGAACTTAAAAGTTCCGCCCGGCCAATTAACTACGTTCATACTTGTTTTTCATTAAGATGTGTTTAGTTGGCCATCAAATTTTTCTAAGCGTAATACTTTAAATAAGACATTTCGGGTTTCCAGATGGCAAGATACCTCCCTCCGCACAGTTAAATATTAGATTGGGGGAAAAAAAATCCATTATGACAATGTTGCTATAATCGGAGAAATGATCGAAGTTGACCACCATGTTAGCAGTCGTAACATCGCCCAGGATCTAAAATTGGTATCTAGGGAGGATTGGGAAAATCGACTACTAGAGTTTTTTTTTGCAAATAGAGAGCAGGACTTCTATGAGTGAGACATTATGAAGATACCTTTAAGGGGACCCCCCCATTCACGGAGTCAACAATTTTTTTTGATATAATTCGAATCTACACTAATTCCCTACAAAATTTCAAGTGAAAATCTCAAGAACTCTTGAAGATATAGCCGATTTATTGTGTCAACATCAAGTGACGGCTAAAGGGCTTCTCAAACTTTAAGCGCGTTTTTCTCTTTTGCGAATGGCGGGCACGATAACTCAAAAACTAATAACCCAATCAATTCCAAATTTTTACACGTTTCTCTGTGAGTGTATAGCTA